TCCCAGACCAGGAAAATGAAGAAGTCCCCTAGGGGAAAATGATGTGCCCCAGTGTTGGTTATTGTGGGAAAGGGTCCTATAGCCTTAGAATTCTAACCTACATAACTGCTAAGTTTAGAAGACAGGAAATTTAATAAATGTAATTTAATTCCCACCTTTAATTCACAGAAAAACTAAATTGTAACTCGCTGTCTCTGAATCCCGACCTGATTTAGATCAGAAACTCTTAACCTCCATCACTCTTTTCTGAGTGTTTACCACCAGAAGGGCAAGCAGAAGGGGGTAACACATCTTCGGGTAAACTCTACTATAGGAAAAAGTAGACTAACCAGAGAACAAGCACTCCTACATGTTGACATCCTTCGGAAACATCACTCCGACTTTAAAAATGATAGAGGCAAGCCAGCAAAGAAAAAAAAAAGTCCATGGTTACTGGGAGTGAAAGTGGAATCAGACGTTGGTTTCACTGTGCAGACTCGAATGGACAGCTTGACCTTTGGAGGTCAAAGCTTGGCTTTATCAGCTCTTTAAATAAACTTGCAACAAAAATGCCACTTGAAGTGTGCTGTGAAGATGAACATCAGTGGAGAAGGGCAAGATTCATGTGTGAGAGATGAAAAGGAATCCCAAATACCCTGACTATAAACTCATGAAAATTTCATGGCACTTAAAAATCACATAGCTGTTTGGGATACATTCATAAGTGACACACCAATGTCAAATTTGAATGCATATTCTGTTTAGAAGTTTTAGTGTAATAAGAGATTCTAGAAGAGTACTTGGAAAATACATGACATGAGATTATTGGATATTTCTCCTTTTGTTTTGGAATCAACTCCTATGACCTGGAGTCTCAGAAGAAATGCAGCTTGTATACAAGCAAAATAATTTATTTTTAATACTGAAAACCTTTGACATTATTTTGATAGGAACAAAGAGACAAGGCTGTGAATACAGTTCTATGTAAATTGGACTTTTCATCCAGGGGTGGTGGCTCAGTCCTATAATCCCAGGATTCCAGGGGACTGAGACAGGAGGACCACACATTTGAATTCAGCCTGGGCAACTTAGTAAAATGCTATCTCAAAATTAAACACACACACACACACACACACACACACACACACACACGGGGCTGGGAAGAGGCTCTGTGGAATAAGCACTTCCCTGGCAAAAGCAAGGGCCTAAATTCAATCCCTGGTTCTGCAAAACACACACACACACACACACACACACACACACACACACACACAACAAAAGGCTGGAGACGTAGCTCAGTGCAAAGCCCTCGGGTGCAGGCCCCCCCCCCCACAATAAATAAAAACTAACGCCTGTGCAGCACTTCGCATGCACCACTATTCTGTCCCCAGCTGGCTTCTTCCTCACCTCTGTGTGGCCCACCACTGGGCACTCGGCAGATAAACTGCCCTGGCATCATTAAGGACACCAATTAGGGTGGAAATATACAGTGGAAAATACAGCGTGGAGAAAAATACCTAGTCAGAGTGCAGATTTTAAAGAATGGACATACAAGTATACAAGTAAGAATTATAAAACATTCTATACATTCTACCAGAGGACTCTTCAAGTTTAAACAGAGCTCCACACAAAATTATTTTAAATAGCCCAGACTTCTCCACTGTACCTGAGGTAGGGTATACCTTACAGGTGAGTATTCAGTTACATATCTCTAGATGTATGCGTGAGTTTGACAGTGTGTGTGTGTGTGTGTGTGTGTGTGTGTGTGTGTGTGACAGAACACTAACAAAATGTTAATATACCTTTAGCCAGCAGGATCTATTCATGGGAATGATGAAAGTTATTTTTGTGTACCCTTAACCAGTGCAGCTGAGGCAGCATTTCCTGCTGTAACGAGATGTGATTGTGTCCGTCCTCACCGCACTGCCTATTGAGCCCAAGCCTGACTGCACGTATGGTTGTGAGGACTGTGAGCAGAAGGTGTGAGGAGCTGGCTGGACAGGGAGCAGACATAACTGTACTCCGTGGGCTTGGTGGGCAGGAGATAGGTAGGGACACAGGGACCAGCAGCATTCTACTTCTCTGGTCATCTGCATGATTCTCATCCTCCAATGATGAATGCAACCAGCTGCCTGCTCCTTTGCTTGAGCAGGCCGCGGGTTCATCTCGCAGAGTGGTCCACAGTGCTAACAGAGGCCTGGCATTTGCCGAGGGTCTTGTGTGGTGTTTGAGCTACTACTGCAAGGTCTGTCTGTTTTGCTGGTACTGTAGGAAGCGAAGCAACCTACACAGTGGGGACATGAGCAGCCCCTCTCTCACTGGGGACCGTGTTCTTCCCTCTTGTCCTCCCTTGCTTGCTTTTCACAGAAAGACACCTGGGAGCTCTTGACAGGTTGACCCCAGAAGGAGGGGGACCGAGGCTGGGCATGCCTTGCTGCTCATGTAAGAGCACTTCCCTGACACAGCAGGGAGAATCAGCAGACTTCGCAGAAATAAAGCCTGGTGACCAGGGTGACCAGTATGGAGAAGAGAATGCAGGCAAGACAAGGCTGTGCTCAAGTGCATGGGCCAAGGCCAGTCACCGATTTTGTCATTCTGAAGGCTGTAAAAACATTATAGTAGAAAAAAGGTGTTTTCTTAATATTTCTTTTTCTTTTCAAACAGGAGAAGACACGCCCCACTCTATTCCTTGGCTATTATTTGACATATTTCCTGATGGCTCCAAAATGACATCCTCCCTTAATCATTATCTAAACAGGAGGTCTAGGCATCAAAAGGAGTTCTTTGGAAAAAGTGAAATAGTAATGTGGAAGAAAACAATTTTACCACGAGAGTTTAAGGACACTGAAGCACTTTTTTAAAAAAGATATCATCATGTCACTGTAGGCTGTCTTCTTAGGAAAACATTCTAAAAGGTTATGATATACTTCAAATGCTCTTACTGTAGAACTAGTTCATGACTGCCTTCTATGTCTAAATGTCTAAATGGCTGGTTATCTCTTGTGGAGGCGACTCTTGTGTTTTCCTAAAGATCATATAGCAACTATTACAGTGCTAAAAAATGACTAGGACTATGAGAAGCTTTGCAGATGAAGTTCTAGGTCTAGAGCTATGGAGTAGAAAAAACAAATTTAGACTTCCCTGTACTTATCTCTTCACAGGAGGGTGAAATCATTTTGTTTCCCCAGGTTTTAGAGAAAACACATTTAAAATGCCACAAAGATGCATAAGAAAACATAAAACTGCAAATATTAACTGTCTGTATTCTTGAAATATAACTTAAACTTGGTGACTAGGACAAGAAAATGTCACATTCCTTTCTCTTGCTAAGGAAATTGCATATTTCCTTGTGAAAATAAAGACTATGCGGTCTTCAAAGGAGTATGTGACAGTTTTAAATTTGTTTTGTTTCAGGCTAAAGGTTTCTATAAATTTTCATGATTGTCTCCATGTTAAAAAAAAAAAAGACAGAAAGGAAAACAGGCTTAGGCATATAGTTTTGATTTTCATCAGTGTTAAAAACAACGTGAGGTATGTTGCTTTCAAATCCACTTTAGAAGGGAAACGCTTCGGCCTTTGCTTACACTTCTATCGCTTGTCTGCAGGGCTCGATGCACAAAATTAAGCTTCTGTCCTTCCTCAGATTTGGGAGGCCAATAGCTGTCCAGTTTCCTAAGTGGGGACCGAGTCATGGCTTGGACAGAGAGTCAGCAAGGAATGCTCCGTGTTGGCGTTAAGATCAAGGGAGCCGTAGCCTTGATTGAGAACATTAATTTCACTTGGGAATTCAGAGATTCTGGAAACAGAAATCCTCCTTGGAAACACAGATTAATCAAATTTCCAGGTTTTCATTAACATGAAATGAAAGGAAAGTTTAATAGTCCTGTCAGACACTGTGGTAAGGTCTTCCGGTCTCCTTAACCATTCATTCCTCACATGGACCTCATATTCTGAGGCCAGGAATTGAGGATGTTGCTGAAATTCACCCATTCTAAGAGGCATGGTCAGGTTCTCAGCATAAGGTGAAAGCCACACCAGACTACACATTCCTGCTAGTGAGAGGCAACAAGACGGAAAGGCTCTTGGGCAGGCTGGTTACCTCTGTGTCGGTTGAGCTGCTTCTGATTTCAGAATTTGGTTCCAAGTACATGGGTTTAAACTGTTCTAGGAAGATAAATTGATGAGTCACAGGGTCCTCCAGGCCAGGCCCAGGACTCTGAGGGAGACAGGAAAGTCTATAGCTCAGGTCTCCTGGCTCCAGCTCTGGGCTTTTGTAGCTCTGCATGGCTTTCCCGGTCTCTGTACAGGTTCCAGACAGGACAGCCGGTTGGCTGGGGCTACTGGGGCATAGGGCGGCAGGCTTACCAGAGCTCAGGCTTACCAGAGCTCATGGCACGTGTACCCCAACTGGTACATGGGCCATGGAAACAATGCCCACGCGCAGAGATGTGTGTACAGACATCAGAGTCTTCGTTGTGCCCTTTTGTTATCTTTACTTTATTTCATTTTGACTCCCCCCCCCCATTATTACAGTACAATAAAGTATGGTACAGAGTTTAGAGCAGCTATTTATTTAAACCTTAATTTTATGCAACAAAGAGATTGCCCCTGGACTCAGAAAGTTTTAATGGATTTCCTTCGTGACAATTAATTTCTTTATTCAAAGAAATAATACATTTGGAGTTTAATCATAAGAATAAGCTAGAGTACATTTTGTTTATCATAATGAATGTTAAGTGTAGTATTTTCCTCTCCTACATATAAGAAAGATAGTTGTAGCAATATAGAATTTATTAAAATTTAATATAGTTAAACTATTTACATAGAAAATTTTTAGTTTCTTATTAAAACATCTATAAAAATTAAACCAATATGATTATTTTTATCAGAATTTTCCTGTAGTTTAAAAGTATGCATGGTGCTTATATACGATATGAACCAATGGCCAATATCACTCACCGGAACTTTGATGTTAATGGCTTCTACATTGTAAAAGAAATCCTTGACCGTACAGAACTCACCTTCTGTCCATTCATCCCCGGAATTCCAGGTGCTCCAAGAGATCCCTAAAGAGCACAATTTAAAGTAGGTTGGTATTGTAATCATAAAGTATTTCCATCCTACCTTTCTATTATGTTAGTTCTATCAGCTGTGATGGTATCTTGCTAAAAGACAACTTCCGCTAGAGTTAAAATTTAACTCCATTCCCTGAAGTAAACTTAACCTTCATGTAAAGTCAAAGAATTTGAGATCATATATTGAGACCCATATCTCAGTGGCTCTAAGTTAAGAAATAAAGGCAACAGTGGTGCTATACATCTGTAATACCAGCACTTTGGAAGGCTGAGGCAGGAGGATCAGAGGTATGAGCCCCACCTGGACAACTTGATGACTTAGCAAGACCTCGTCTCAAAGCAAAAGCATAAAAAGGGCTTCAGCTATCGCTCAGGATGAAGGCCTGGGTTCAATGGCTGATACCATAATAAAAAAATAGCCTTATTCAACATTTCAATACTTGATGAAAAATACCTGTTCCTTATTATGCCTAAGATGTTTGAAATGTAGTGAAATAGTGAGGTTAAGCTTGATAACGTAAATCGTTTGATAATAACAATAAGCTTGTCTTCTGGATGGTTAACATCCTAAGTTTGCAGACCAAAATTAGAGAAAAAGGAGGGCTACAAGGAAAGCCAATATTTTGGCCCTACCCTTCTAAGGTCAATTAAGACTCAGGACATATGAGAACTTGTACTGTAACGTCATGTACCTCGGTAGTGTCCCAAATTTTCTGATCAAGAAGGTTATGGGGCCAAAGAGGAAATTGATCAATGATGTAGAGTGTGCCTAAGGAGAGTCACATGAGGAGAAGACACTCTCTCAGGCTTTCACAGAGAGCACATTGGCCAAGCAATGGCCATGACTCATCCACATGGCTGCACTGACAAATGTTCTACAATCTGAGGTACAGGATCTCAGGATAAATCCTGAGGGCATTTCACTGACCTTCTCAAACCAAAAAGCTACAACTCTTGTTGCATAGGTCCTGCTTTACCTTGGTCTTAGCCATCCAGTAGAAAAGTATGAAGATGAAATATAGGAAGTAAAGCCATGTTGTTATGTTGAGCTGTGGGAGACTCAGGTCAATAATTTCTGACATTGCCAATTAAACAGAAGACCCAATGCTATTATGGGCTTCTGTACTCTTTTAGAATATTTTGCTGAGTTTACACACCTATAATATTCAACAACGGAACTTAAAAAAAATTGGGGTATAACTATGAATGTCCATTTTGTATCTGTGTATTCAAAGTGGTTGGGATAGATATATAATTGCATTCTCTTAATGAATAGAATGATTTTTTCTAACGGTGTTTGTAAGTAGGGTCACAAGTCTGCATCTTGTACAGCAATTAACCACTAAGAAGAATATATGCAGTGTATTATTTGTTGAAACTGTACTTTCAATTTGATTTGAAACTGTCTCATTGCTATATGTTTATCAATAAAACTTTGAAAAGAAAAAAAATAGCCTTAGTTCCAACAGGAACAAGCCTCACAGGGACTATAATTCTTGAATTTCACAAATTTAAGTATGTAAACAAGAACTATTTGAAATCACAACCACTTGTTCCACAATTAAATAGGGAACTGTGTTGCAAACTCAAGTTTCTTGCATATGGGGCCCCTAACCTTGTTCGCAGCATGTTTCAGTCACTGGAGTGCGACTTCCATAGTAGACTCCAAGAGGTGCCGCAAGTGTTGCACACGGACCAGCTTTGGTACAACAGAATGAAAGCAGCGGTGTGCACAAACTCGCATGCACAGTACTGTGGGCTCAGGAGGAAAAGCTGGGCGGGGCTGGGTGAAGCGAGACACAAAATGCTAATTACTCCCTGAGAAAGTCTATGGGAGGGGGGTGTGAGTGGATATAGGACCGTTAGTGAGCATGATGTCATTCTCTTCTCTTACACCACCTTTTCAGGTTCTGGAGAAACCATTTTTAAATACAATGTGCTTATTCTTTGCCTAGAACTAGAAAACAGATTTTCCTCCCCTTACTACAGGTATATTAAATTTCTTTAATAATGATGGGGAGAAGCTTTTAAACATAGTAATAATAAAACTGTTCTAAATATAGTAGTTATATGCAAAACCAATTTGGGTGACAAGTTCGTTCTGTTGTGCATTTTGTGATGTTATAGAGTGGCTCATTAAAGGACTTGCCAAAGCCTGAAGCAGTAATGTGATCCTGGTCAAATGGTGGATTAGGGTAGCTTTACAATTCCACACCATGCTTAATAGAGATGTTATCATGAGGGACACAGTGTCCATACACACAAGGTGTCTCATAACTCATTGGCTTTGGTTTAGTTTGTAGGATTATGTTTCAACAGATGCCACATGCCCACAATGTGGGCGATAAAACGTCTCTATCTTTGATGGATTCCAAACATAAAGAATAATCACTTTCCCACCTGTTATAATACAATTACTTTCTTTAGTTGTCTTCAAGTTGAGGGTGGGAGGTTGATGGGGTGTGCAGGGAAGAACATCGGGATGTTTGTGGGCCTAGGGTCATCTACCTGCTAGGGACACAGTTACAACTGTGGTGCTGATGTAGTTTCAGAATTCCTAGATCCTCCCAGCACAATGTAATGATCATTCTTCACTGAAGAACAATCAGGAAGTCACTTTTCAGGTTATAGACAAAGGAGGACATTTGGAATGCAACTGTAACACTGTAAACCAGGCCACAGACTCATCTTTCATTCAGATCCATTCTGAGGCCATTGGGAATGATCCATTTGAGAAAGGTCATGAATTCAATTTTCAGTGTCTTATGATCCTTGAAATTTCCAGTTTTATCTCAAAGTTTTTCTGGTATTTGAATTAAAAATGGAACAACCTACATGCTTAATGAGTCCTCTCTAGATACATTGAGTTTTCTACAATGGAGTTGACTAGAAATCTCAGGCTACATCACATGATGATGATTTTACAAAGGAGAATGTACAAAACAGACCAGCTACTTGAGCAGCTCACAGTAGCTCTCTCCCACTAGTGGGTAAGGAATATAATTACTTTCACAGCACTGTCATATACTCTACCTTTTGTCCTGGAGGCCCCAGAGGACCCTAAAAAATAAAAAAAAAACCCTCAGTTAACATAAAACAGTAACCACTTAGACTAAGGTGACCAGTTAGAACTGTCCATGAGGTCCTCTTTGCTACAGTGAAGCATGCAGGTGTTCAGTGAAGCTTTTTAGCCTGAGGACCAAAATAGGTTTTAAGCTAATTTATTCTTCTCTAAAGAAGTACATGCAGGAGGGTTCTCCTCTTTCCCTGAGAATGCTCACTGTACCCATACATCTATTTCTGCAAATACATGCAAAAGGACCACATTGATCTCACTTAGAGGGGTGAGTATTGTTGCTAGAAGCAGTTAAAATTCTTACAGTCCCCCAGGAAAGCAATGCTCTTCAAGACTTCTGCATCTGTAGGACTTCAGGAGGCAGATTTGCAAATAATTATATAGCATCACAAAGACACGTGCTTTGTTCTCATCTTTCTCTTTGGGAAGGAAGACCTTATTTACAAATGAGGGGAGGCCAGGACCAAGTGTGGTATCTAAAATGTACTTGAAGAAAAGATGCTACGAGCTTGTGCTAAGACTACACTATGTTGGGTGGCAAGAGAAAGGCGATATTTGGGGCCAGGGAGGTAGCTCAGTAGAATAAGCGCTTGCCTGGCAAGTGTAAGGACCTGAGTTCAATCCCCGGTTCTACCAAAAAAACAAAACAAAACAATTTCTAGATTTGGGGCTGGGGAGATGGCTCAGTGGAATAAGCGCTTCCCTGGCAAGCGCAAGGGCCTGAGTTCAGTCCCTGGTTCTGAAAAAAAAAAAAAAAAAAAAAAGCGATATTTAGTGAGATGAATGAGAATATTTATACAGAAAATGTAAACGTGACAGTTTGGAGATTTAGCAGTTTTTCAATCACAAAGCCAGAGTCAGGTTCTTTTGGCTTTATTTAGAGCAAGGTCTGGCTTCGGAAGACTGATAAGAACATAGAAATATAGTTACTACTTAGGTGCCTTATATCTATTTTAAAGTAAAAAAAAGTAAACTACTCCCTAATTCTTTCAAAAATATATTTACAAGGGCTGACCAGGTAGCTCAGTGCACTAAAGCACCTGTTTAGGCAGAGTGCAGGGACTGGGATTCAATCCCCAGCATGCTGTGCTGGCCCTGCCCCTGGGGCGCGCTGAGATGGCAATTGAGACTGGGCATGGTGGCGTACATCTGTGATCTCAGCTCTTGGGAGACTGAAAACAGGAGAATCACTACAAGTCCAATCTGCTTAGTAAGATGCTGTGGATTCTGCAATATATGTATGTATATATATATATATATATATATATATATATATATATATATATATATAGAGAGAGATATATTTGTATGTTTTAGTGAGCTTGCAGAAATTATCATTTTACATAAATGTTCTTTAGTGCATTACCCTTAGCTAATGGCTTATTTCTTTTCAGTGAGTGGTGTTTCAGCTAATCAGCATCTCACATTTGTCTGCAGTAACATTTAATAAAACACTAGGGTGGTCATTAGAGGAAGACTTACTCTTGCATTGTTCTATTTTATTAAAAGTACACAATGCTCTGGAACATTCAGAGCCTGTTGCCCATAGTCATCTCAATGGAAGACTCACAATTTCCTCCCACCCTCAGCTTTAGATTATTCAAAGTATGTTGCACAACACATCTTTACATATTCCTATTGGATGTAACCAACCAACCAATCAACCAACCAATGTTTTAATGAGCTTGTTTTCAGCATGTCTGTAGTCAGACATTCTTCCTTTCCATCTTATTTCATCTATCTAAAATGCTCCCCTTTTAGATTTTGCAGAGAAAACAGACCATCGAGTATAAATTCCCTCAACATCATATCTGCCATTAACCCAAGCCCACAAGGACCCCTTTCCAGTATCAGAAAGAAGGGTCCCAGGCCTGTACCAGGCCAGCTCGCCCGGAAGACTCTGGAATCTATCCTGGCCGCTGTCCTCGGGGATCTCTCTCAATCAGTTACCCCTGCATCTCCATCACAGCCTCCCCTCTCTCCATTCCGTCCCTCAGCACATAAACATGTTGAATCATTTCCTCACTCGGGTAAATTGTCTGAGAGGCAAATGCTAATGCCAAGAAAAGGCAGAGCTTGCAGGCAGTGGTGATAGGAGATCTGAGCCTGAAGACAAGACTTGGGTTTTATCATTGTCTCAGATTCCATTTTCTCAAGTGTCTCCAGAGCACTTCACTTCTTAAAATGTTGATGTTAGAAGGGAAATCATATAACACAGAGTACATTAATTCAATGTTTAGACTGAGAATGTGCATGTGCAGTTCACCAAGGTTTCCTTCCCATTGTAAACCTGACTTTGCCACTTGAAAAAATATCCACTAAAACTGGATGTTTCATTACAGAGACATATCATCCTGAAACGGACGATTTCAAATGAAAATTAGAGCAACTTTTATATGAAATACTTTAGAGAATAACATAGGGATCAGTTCTAATTTGATCTCTGTTGCATTATTACTGCAGATTAGCATATTAGAAAGACTAAGTCACAGCCTTGAAATTCATAGCATTGAATAAAATGTTGCATATTTTAACACAATACTTAAGGAAGCAAAATGATAACTTTAAAGAAAAATATTCTTCACTTTTAGGAAACCAGTGTTGCTTTTGATAAGTTCTGAAAATAAAGATTTAGCATTAATTCTGACTGTGAAGAAACACTCCATATTCACAGTTCTACTGCCTAGAGCATATTCTTGGCTACCAAAAATGTACACAGCTTCTCTGGTGCCACTGGCAAGAAAAATGTTCAGGATGCAAGGAGAGTGTCACCTATCAGAAGGAAGAAGCAGGGAGGGACAGCTGGATAGAAGTTGCAGACACGCACGTGGGTCAGTACATAGGAGCACGTGCATGCATATACAATGAAGTCATTTTAAGGAGCAGGATTTCACTTCTATGTGTTTTAATATCATTAGTAACACCATAATATATCTATGCCATTGTAATTAAGTTTAAGCTTACAAATTAAGGTTTTCTTGCTCAAAACTTTATTTTGTAAGTAGGGCATAATGCTAGCAGTTAGTTAAGATGTCTACACTGTATTAGTCTTGTGGTTTCTGCTACAAATGTAAACTTATAACATAATGGACAAATGCCATAGGCCCAATCATTAATTTATCTAATCTTTAAAAATGTATTTATGTTTGACTTGGGTGAAAAACATCATGTATTTATTATTGACTAGAGACACTAATGCTTATTATTCCTAAAATTAAAGTTCTGGTAGTTAAAAAAGTTTTAAAACAATTCTGTTGTTATTAACCCATGATTTACTAAGTTTGGATCAAATAATTTTCCAAAGTAGAGTTATAATCTTTTGGGTGTATTTCTCTTAAATATGTTTCTTTTTTAGCCATTTCCTTGGTAGGTACATTCATAATTTACATATGGTTTGTATGCAACCAATTAAGGTGGATATAATCAAACTTAATTTTTCAAAAATAATTTCTATATGCCTCAAGATTAAAAACTCTGCAACATGTAGAATTGCAACAAATTAAACTAAATTTCAATAACTCTAGCTCTATCAAGTATAATTTGAACCTTAAAATATATTCACCTCAGTGTGGGTCATGGATGACATAAAATAGATGAACTGTTCATTGAAGAGTTCTGCAGAGTGGGTTTAACTTTATTCAAAAGGTAAAAACTTAGTGGCGAATTCTAAGATTGGAGTAGCAATGTCATTAATCATCATTGAAATCTTTCCACCAATTTTTAAAATTTCTTTCTTTTTTTTTTTTTTTTGTATTTAGTACAGGGTCTACAGGGTCTTACTATGCAGATCAGACTCATTGTAATCCTGTTTTCAGCTTTCCAAGCGCTGGGATTACAGGCAATCACCAGCACGCCCAGTCTCAGTCGCCATCTCAGCACACCCCGGGGCCAAGGCCGGGGCCGGCACAGCATGCTGGAGATTGAACCCCGGCCCCTGCGCCTGCCTAAGCAGGTGCTTTAATCCTCTGAGCTATCTGGCTGGCCCTTTACATTTTTAAAAATTAAATTCAGATAGAAACTTGGAAAGAAGGGGAGGATTATTCAGTGCACCTGACTTTCCCTCTGGTCCCCTGGATTCCCCCAGTGCTACTCTTAAGGATCACACACAACATCCAGTGCATGCTAAGCAAGCAGTGAAAGAAATCTGAGAGATCCACAATCCCAGCTGGCCGGTGTCCTCCCGAAGCCTGTTAACTGGCCCAGGAGGGATCTTTGCTCCTTCTCTCTGGGCCATCAGGACTCTCGGCTCTTGCCCTCTTCCCACCTGCAGTGCCATCCCTGCCGAAGCCCTTGTCTCTCTCACCTAGCTAATGTGACAGCCACCTCATGGCCACTCAGCTTTTAGTGACCTCCAGCTTGTCTGCTCATCATGGCCTGCTATACACTAATGGGCTCACATGCCCTGCTCAGACACCCTGCAATGGCTTTTGCACAGTGCTTAGAGGAGTGCAGGTTTGGAGAACAGCTCGATTTCCTCGCTGCCTGCCACGCTTCCCTGCCTCACTCCTCCAGCTGCCGCAGTCACAGGCTTCGCTCATCCTCTCCCTTGGGCCCATTCCACAAATCTGAGCTCAGCACCCCTGCCTGGAGAGTTCAATCTCCTTCTTTTATCCTCCAAAGCACCCCCATTACAGCACTTTTCAGTAGCATTGTAGCATTACAATAATTGTCTAATTATTCCTTCAAATGGCATTTATCCTACACCGAGGTTGGGTTGGAGTGACTGTGCAGGGAATCCTCCAAAGCTCACGCATTTACTCATTCAATAGCTTCTCAGGGCCCACAGAGTGCCAGCCAACAATTTAGGCACTGGGGGTCCAGCAGTGAACAAAGACAAACAAAACTCCAGGTCTCTTGGTTGTTCTATTTTGCGGTTGGACAAAGACTGTGGACAAAGTATGAAGCTGGGTCAGCTCATCACTGCTAGAGCAAAGAGCAGGAGAACAGAAGTGGATGTGGAAGTATTTTAATCGAGTGGTTGGCG